GGGGGGGGGGTGTTTGTTTTTGCAAACGGATCACCAGGGCTTTCTTCTGAAGTGCCTCTGAGTGGACTTAGAGCTCCAGCCATTTGAACAGCAGCTGAGCACATTAGCTGTTTATGCTACCCGGAGACTTGATACCACGGAGCGATGACAGGCCTGCTTGATTGGGACAATGGAAAGGAAAGGGCTGATTACCTATCCTAACTATTTTTTAGCATTTTCTGACCAAGCTATTCCATTATTCCTCTTCAGCTGTCTTCCTAAACCACTGCCATTCCCGTAAGCATCCTGTCACCCAAGACTGAGTGGCTATATCACTCAATCAAATCTATGGGAGCCAGAGCAAATGTCCATTCAATGAGGAATGTTCTTCCTAATGAATGGAAGCCCTGTCAGAGGGTTTGAATTGAACGGTTTCATCTATAACTTCATTTTATAAATTAATTCCTTAATCTAGGCAACACATATCTACAAATGTCTACTCTGTGCCAGGAACTAGGATCAGAGACTCTAATGTCACACAGTTTCAAACCCTGCACCCAAAGCCATGTCTTCTAAGCCCTGGGCAGAACATACCTTCTACTACTCTACTGCCCTATCGGGTACCCATGCTCTAAGAACACGGTTAATAGATCTGCCACAGTGTTTATCTTCCAGCAGGCAAATTCTTCATTGCAAAGAGCACCCCAAGGACATTTACAGAGACCTCCCTTTTCCCTCCAGGCTCAGTTAGGCACTTAGGATGCTGACAGAAGGAAATTCACATTTGGTGAGCACTTCCTACATAGTGGGGCATTGGGTGCTGGCACTCCACTACTGCCTAAGAGTTGGTGGTTCATATTCACCCAGTGGCTCTTTGGAACACTGGCTGGGTGATCTGCTTCTGTAAATTTACAGTCAAGAAAACCCAATGGACCCCTCCCGGGCCTGTGCACCGCTCCACCAGAGGGACAGTCGGCCCAATATGTCACGACCTCTGATCACTGGATCCCCTGGATCTCCACCGAACAAGCAAAGCATTCCTACAGCATCGCAGCTCACAAAGCCCAACGCACCTGTCCACATCGTGGGCAGCCACGTGTACTCCGACAGCCTGGCCAGCCTCACCCAACACCCCGAATCAAGAACCGGAAGACTTTTCGATGGCACAGAGCCCATTGTCTTGGGCAACCTTGGACAGATGTTCAGATATATCTTGAATTGTCTATGAACATCAAAACTTCAGTCCTGGTGATTTCAGGAAGTACACTTTGTTACATGAAGATGCAAAATACTTTCAACTTCAGTTAGTGCTGTTGACAATGGAAAGATGGAAACCGGAGAGAGAAATGGGTCACTTTTCCAGGGCCTGTGAGTGCCTGCTGGTGCGTGGAGCCCCCGACCTTGGTGAGAGGCTCACACCCAGTGGCGGTAAGTCCTTGATGGACGTGTTCCCAGAGATCACCGACGGGATGTGTAACTCCCGTGCACGACTCGA